TATATAGGAATTATCTTTTTAAAAGAAAATATATTTTTGATTTTGGATAACTCTTATTGTTATTGATTAAAATAAATTATCTAATAAAATAAATTAAAATTCGTTTTTATATATAATTAATTTATATAATTTATTCATTAAGGGTAGAATCGATATTAACCACTCTAACTTTTAACGTGAGAGCTCCGTTGCGAAAAATCACTTCGCAAATAATAGTATAGATTTAACTACATTCATTTATGTCGTTGTGAATTATCGTTCCATTACTAATTTGAATAAGACTCAGTAAACCTAAACCTTGCTCAGAAAATTATCTTATTAGCTTTTCTCATATAGTCGAAAAAATGTCTAAGATTTTGCGTATAAGAAACTCTTATCTTCTTTATAAAAGAAAGAAGAATACTGGAAGAGACAAAGAATCACATGCTCTTTTTACCAACATCCGTTAATTTAAATTTGTTTCCCGGTTTCTATGCTCTAATCACTTTTTAAAAACAAATTCCTGATTAGTAAAAAAAGTATTTATACGAAAGTTGTTTAGTTATCTAAGTGAGAACACAAAGAAACCAATCTACCAACCGTTAATTTATAACAATAAGTTAAACCTTAAACCAAAATCAAACCGAACCAAACCATAATCAAACCGATAATTTCGGATTTGTATATATTTCACTCAAAGCCCCTCAAGTATCTCCGCTAAAACATTTTTAAAGAACGTCTCTCTCTCTCTTACTTTCTTTTCTCTCTCTGACAGTTCTTTTTGTTTTCTTGTCTCTCCCTTCGAGTCTCGATGCGAAGAATCGAGCAACTCTGTCTCTCTTTCTAAACGTTGTCTTGTATCCAGAACACAGCCAGAATCCGAACGAGCTACTTGAACGCCTGTTTCTAACTACCTAAAGATGATCTTACCTTTGGCGTTAGCGTTAGCGTTTGCGGCGGCGATAACCGCGTCCGCGTCGCCGCTTCACTCAACGTTTGCAAATCACGAACCTTTCCCCGCCAAGATTCTACCTTTACAAAGGGCTTTTCCTCTAGACGAGCCAGTTGAGCTAAGCGAGCTAAGAGCGCGTGACAGTGTTAGACACGCGCGAATCTTACTAGGCAGAGGCGGGCGTCAGAGCTCAATCGGCGGCGTGGTGGACTTCCCAGTTCAAGGCTCTTCCGATCCTTTCCTCGTCGGGTAAAATTACTTACTCAACCTAAAAAGGACTTTCCTTTTTTAGAAAGTTGTCTACTTTCTTTGGTTCCCACTTGATTCAGTGTTTCCAGATTGGTTTTTAAGAATCGTTTTCTTTGGTTGCAGCTCCAAGACAACTATGTAATGTCACATTTTGAAGTCTCTATTGCTTTCTCTTTGTGGATGAATCTTCTTTTGTGTGATATGATATAATGTTTCTTGGCTAGGCTTTATTTCACAAAGGTGAAATTGGGTTCTCCTCCTACAGAGTTCAATGTTCAGATTGATACTGGAAGTGACATTTTGTGGGTAACTTGTGGCTCTTGCACTAACTGTCCTCGCTCCAGTGGACTTGGTGTAAGTTTATTAGTTTTCACTTTCTTGTGGGAGAGATCAAAGGGCTTAATCTCTTTGTTTTTGTTTTTTTTGAACAGATTGAGCTTCATTTCTTTGACGCTCCTGGCTCCTTGACTTCTGCCTCTCTTACTTGTTCGGATCCGATTTGTTCTTCAGCTTTTCAGACAACAGCTGCACAGTGTTCTGAGAGTAACCAGTGTGGTTACTCTTTTCGTTATGGTGATGGAAGTGGGACTTCTGGTTACTACATGACTGACACGTTTTATTTTGATGCTATTTTGGGGGAGTCTTTGGTTGCTAACTCTTCTGCTCCCATTGTTTTCGGGTGAGGGTTTTTTTTTTATTAAAACACTGAGGCTTGTGTTTGAATGAGAGTGTTGACATGTTTCTCAACAGATGTAGTACCTACCAATCTGGGGACTTGACAAAGTCAGATAAAGCAGTGGATGGTATATTTGGTTTTGGCAAGGGGAAGTTGTCTGTTGTTTCTCAGCTGTCTTCACGAGGGATTACACCTCCTGTGTTTTCTCATTGCTTGAAAGGAGATGGTAGTGGAGGAGGGGTCTTTGTACTTGGTGAGATATTGGTACCAGGAATGGTTTACAGTCCTCTTGTACCTTCACAGTAAGCTCACTAACCACTTACTTTAGTTTCATTGTATTATGCTGTCACAAACTGAAGATTGTGGAATTCCACTTTGTGTTAGTCTAGAGCATTAGCATTAGATAGAGCAGAGGTGGCATTTAGTGGATTGTAGCTGTGTTGAAAGCTCTGTAACAATTGTTGAATCCGTTAGTTAGTGAGCTAACAGGTTTATATGTCTAGCGTTTGGGATGTGGAATTGGTGAGTGGCATGTGATACTACTAATAAGAATATGTTTTTCATCTTTTGATTACGTGTTACAGGCCTCACTATAACTTAAATCTCCTGAGCATTAGCGTGAATGGACAGATACTGCCAATTGATGCGGTGGCGTTTGAAACATCGAACACACGTGGTACTATTGTTGACACGGGAACCACTTTGACATATCTGGTGAAAGAGGCTTATGATCCCTTTCTCAGTGCTGTAAGTTTGTGAAAATTTATTGTTTGTTTCCGTCTCAGAGATTCTGTCTTTCAAATCAATGATGTCGTTGCACTTGTGTTATCTTCAGATATCAAACAGCGTGTCCCAGTTGGTGTCACCGATCATGTCTAATGGAGAGCAGTGCTATTTGGTCTCGACAAGGTATGCCTCCTTTTCTGTAACTACAATGTTCAAATCATTTTCTTTTATATGTCAAAGTTAAGAGAGTCTTCTCTTGGTTTTTGGTGTGTTTGTTGCAGCATTAATGACATGTTTCCTCCGGTTAGTCTAAATTTTGCTGGTGGTGCATCAATGATGTTAAGACCTCAGGACTACTTATTTCATTATGGTTTCTATGTAAGCTCTTCTACTAGCAGTACTGAAATATTCTGCTCTTATTGGTAATCTATTAACTTTGTTCTCTCCTTTCTTCCAGGATGGTTCGTCCATGTGGTGTATTGGATTTTCGAAAGCTCTTGAAGAACAAAACATTTTAGGAGGTCAGGCATTGAGCTTTACTGAATATGCTTGTTTCCCAGCAGTGTGTTTATATATCAGTCCTGTTTTTCTTTATTGCAGATCTTGTCCTCAAAGATAAAGTCTTTGTGTATGATCTTGCTAAGCAACGGATTGGATGGGCAAACTATGATTGTAAGTAAAAATCTTTGTTACAACCATATCATTTAGCCAAAAGTATAGTCATCTACTAAACTTCATAAACTTGATTTTGTTTGAACAGGTTCGATGTCTGTGAATGTATCAGTAACTTCAGGAAAGGATATAGTAAACTCAGGGCAACCATGCTTAATCATCTCAAGAAAGGACATGCTATTAAAACTGTTCTCTAGCGTCCTGTTGGCTCTACTTCTTTATACTTTCTTCTCGTTGACTTAAATCTTTAGAGTTTTTTGTGGTTTTGTTTTAGAGTAGTGCAGGTAATTCTTTTGGCCATTCACACGTTTTCTCTGTTGTAGTTAAGTCGTGTTTTTTTAATTGTAGATAGCTCTACTTTCTGTAAAACCTTGGTTTATTTTATTTTCATGTTTAATATATATATAGGCTTTTTATGTCAGTTCTTGGATAACTTTGCATAAATCAATTTTCATGACACTTAAACAGACTGTTTCATTTACACGCTAGAACAGGATCTTCTTGAATGAATCATTTGTTCATCCTCAGGCTCCACCGTCAAAGAGTGTCTTCCAAAACATCTTTCCTCCAACTTTGTTGATCTTCCCTTCTCGTTTCCTTCAACCCATCTCTTTAGCTTCTTCATCAACCTCTTCCTCCTTGAAGTCTCATGATGATGCTCATTATGATCACCATCATCATCATGATGGTTACTCTCTTCATGATGCTCATGATCAGCTACTACTGTCAATGCAAGAGCATCTGCTTGTTCTTCCATTTCCAAGTATTCTTGCAAGTTTCTACTTGGAGAAAGTGGTACTTCCTCATAATTGGTTTCATTGCTCATCACCTTGTGTCTCAGACAAGCATTTCTCCATCTCAGGCTAATCACTTCCTTCACTCCATTAGCATAATCCTTCTTCAAATCCTCATACTCTGTTAGCACCCTTCTATAATCTTCTTCACTCACCATCTTCACAAAACCCAAAAAAAAAAAAAAGCCAATCAATATAAAAGAAAAAGGATTTGGATCTTACAAAAATCAATACTTACCTCTGATGACTTCATGGACAACACATCAACCCTAGCTTTCAGATCTTTCACTTCCCCTTCAAGTTCCTTCACAACACTATTCTTCATCTCTAATTCATCAATACACTTTAATAACTCTTTCTCCACGGCAATGCTTCTCCTATTCTTCTCGTTTACAACACGGTATAATTGCTTCACTCCTCTCCTAAGTCTTTTTGCTTGCTCCTCAAGAAACCAATTCTCTGATCTCAGCTCGTGAATCTCTCCCACCAGTTTGAGAAACACAATCACCAAATCTTGTCCCCTCTTGTGTTCTTCCTCCATTGAAAAAAGCTCTCTACGGAGGAAATCTAATTGAGTTTTCTCAAGACTCAACATGCTTTTATGTTCCATAAGCATGAGTTCTTGATCTTTCATGTTACAATAACGTTCGAAACGCAACTCCATCTCGTATTCCTTCCTCTGAAGCTCCTCGAGTCTGGATCTTAACCCTAGAATCTCTTGCTGTTGATCATGGCCTAGAATCTCTGTCTCTTCTTCTTCTTCTTCTTCTTCTTCTCCATCGTTTCTTCTGATAGATGATGAAGTAGACTCTTGATTGCTTGCTGATGAAGTCACCTCGTTATGTTCTTTTCGAGACATAAACCTGGCCAAGATCAAACCAGTTCCTGATATTACAAGAGCAACACCAACTCTCAGAATCACAGGCTTCATAGCTCCTCCTCCTTCTTTGGAAACTGAACCATCCATTAATATACTTTTATAGCCCCAAAGTGTCTCCTCGTTTGGATTATATGATAGAAGCTCAGAGTAGAGAATTGATTGATTGATATTGATCAGATTATAATGGCTTTTATACGAATGTGACTTTTATTTTAACTTTATAACAATTCTTTTTGTTGTGGAGGAGACATGTCTTGTAAGATTATTCGTTTCCTTTGGGGTGTGCCTTTTGTTTCCTTTTAATTGGGTTTTTTAAAAGTAATTGAGGTTGGTTGCTTTTTGACCGTTGCTTGCTTTACTCGCTTGGGGGCATCGGATTCTCCACTTACAAGACACACGTTTCTACTTTCTACTCAAATCAACACCAACAATTATATGAAAGTTGTTCATATAACTCAAAAGTAAAGTTTGATGATCCACGGTTAGTTTGAATTTAGTTTGATGACAAATAACGGTAAAGCATATGCAAAACGTGACTGATTTGGATGAGTCAAGATGCGTCGCGATGTTATTGGAGATAATTAAATATAACACTTAGTCTGTGTGAACACGACTAACGTGATTAGTTTGACGACAAAAAAAAAGGTTAACGTGATTACTTTAGATCTTCAATAGTATAGTCTGACAAGACAACCATACATATTAACGTCTTCTAACCTGAATGGGTTAGAATAACATCCATCTATAATAATAAAACAGGGTTCTCTCCTGAGACAAAAGATTATGCTGCTTGTTAGGTAAATATAGTTTAGGGAAGTGACATTCATTGATGTTTTCATGTAGTGGCTGACATTTTTGACGTTATGGGGACTATATTTGGTGCATTAGAGCATCTCCAACCCCACTCCAAAACCCACTCCAAACTCCATTTTGCAGTAAAATCTTCTCCAACCCTACTCCAAAACTCACTCCAAAATGGAGTAACAAACATGATTACTCCAAATATGGAGTAAACCAACTCATTACTCCAAAATGGAGTTGAACTTTTTTATTTATCAAATAGTCCTCCATATTTATATATGTTTCATTTTTAATAAAATATTATTATAAATAAGTACTATATATATTATAAAATTTACTGTTATATTTCTTAATTATATAAATAGCCTCATTTTTAATAAAATATTATTATAGATAAGTATATTAATATTATCTTACTATATATTACAAAATTTACTGTTAATATTTCTTAATTATATAAATAGCCTCGTCTTTAAGAAAAATATTATTATAAATAAGTATATTAATATTATTTTACTATATATATTTTAAAATTTACTGTTAATATTTTTAATTATATAAATAACCATCTGATGAACTCTTTTATACAACATAATATATATAATATAAAACATAAAAGATCATACATATAGAAAATGAAAGATAAGCATCATACAAAAGAAATAACATAAAATAAAACTTACAACAAATATAATTGCTTAATAACCCGATAAATCATTTTCGGATCCATTAAAATTATTAAAATAATCCGATAAAATATTATTAAATTCTTACATAACATGATAATAGAAGATGATTGTGATCTCGAGGTGCAATTGAAGTTGAAAGAGAAGTCATGTCAAGGAAAATTGAAATTGAAGAAAATAATAATGTGAGGTTCCAAAAGTTTCTTTTCGATTTCAGAGAAATCAAAGATAAAGAAGCTCATTTTTTACTTCGAAATGCATTAGTTGATCATTTGTGGGAAAATTATTATAATTCTAATGAATAATTTAGAATTGATGTATTATTGTGTTTAAGCTATATAATGTAATTTTTAATGTATTAAATGTATTCTTTTAAAACCTTGTTGAGTAGTTTTACTTATATAATAAAAATTTAATTGTGGTTAATATTGTATTTAATAGAAATGATATAAATTTAAAATGGACTATTTTGCAAATAGTATAAATGAAAGGTGATATTCCTAATTTTGAAATAAATATAATATTAAAAATATTCTTTTGGAGTAGAAAATGGAGTAATACATTGGAGTAAAACTCAACTGCATTTTGGAGTTACTCCATTTTAGAGTAGAAAATAGAGTAATACATTGGAGATGCTCTTAGAGCATCTCTAATCCCACTCCATAATTTTACTATAAAATGGAGTAGTGAACAAAAACAAAAGTGATTTTGTTTGTTCACTACTCCTTTCCCCATTCCATTTTGCAGTTTCCCACTCCATTTTGCAGTAAATTATGGAGTGGAGTTGGAAATGTTCTCAGGTGATGTAACAGAGGCAGCAAACTGACTATGCCTCTAACATTGTGGAGTAAACACGTGTGGCACGTGACACTGGGAAAGAGAAAGCTTTTGGGCCTGTGTTTTGGAAAAACTTTTTGGGCCTTTGTTTTGGGTGGGATTTGAGGTAGCAAATGAAGTTTTTTGATATTTTCTCGACAGAGTTTTAAATTTCCCCACTTGGCTATGGACCTATGGTCCTTATGGAAGTGAATCTTCGTTGCGACTTTAAAGAGGATTAGCTGTCATGCTGAACAACTCGAGTCGACAATTACGACCTAGTCTTCCTTCCTATATTTAGCTTAACCAAATAAATGGCTTCTGTTAATGTTTGGGTTACAGAATTCTTGATATCGTGACTGACCATAAGTTCACAACACGCCAGTACGCCCCTATAAAATCTCGTTTTGGTACAAAAAAATATCGTGGAAAGAATGTTTCATGTGTATTTTAGTTCATTATAATCGACAATAGTATTATATACTACAACTATAGAACTATGTCACCAAAAGTAGTCGGTGCATTTGAATTTAAGGACGTCCAAAACGACTTAAACAGTAGTATGTGATTTGAGATATTGGCGACGTGATGAGATCTTCGTTTTGGACCCGATGATTTTTACAACCACTTGATTCATTTTGATTGGTGTTACATAAAAAAGACATATGTGGAGCCTGTTTAAGTACGGTTGTCTTGTTCCTGTAAGTGGGCGCCGCCACATGGGTTCGATTAGCCTCTCCTTGCTTGTTCTTGTGGATCATTCTCGACCATCGGACTCTTTTTGTTTCTTTCTTATCTACTCATGGAGCATGCATATATATATATATATCAACCCAGTAACGCTCATATCACATGTCTATTTGTTTTTATTTACTGATCCAGTTGTCTACTGAATTTATAGTTTTATTATATACATACAGCGGATATGGACATGTTAGAAAGAAAAAAAAAACAATTTAATAGATTATAGACTCTGGTGTTTCATAACTCTTTCACTATCTCGGTTATTATATTTTCATTGAATATTTTGTATTTATTTCATGAAAGAGACGATTATTTGTATGTACTAGTATATATGGATTGGAACAAGAAATGTATATGGCCTATAAACATTTTAGAAACACAATGACACCATCAAAGCTAATATACATTTTATTTATAAAAAAAAAAATTAAGAGAAAAAATACCTGGATTACTTTCAGATTATACATTCTATTGTTTAAGGAAACTACTATGAGGTTGATGAAAAAATGTATTTGTTGACTATAATAAAAGGAAGAAAATCTTTCTTTATTTCGTTCTATTGTCTGTTCTTATTCGTATAATTTTCCTAAAAATATTTTCTTTATATTTTTATTCTTTTGCAATTATATAAAAACAAAAACGTCAAAAATCAAATAGAGAATCAAAACCAAATATTCGGAAATAAACCACCAAAATCACCACGTGGCTTGTGGTATCGTAATAACATACGCAAGATCATAGTGGATAACAAAACTCTCTTTCGCTCCTTCTTAACCTCTCATACTCTCCTTTTTATAAGCCGCTTCTTCTCCTCTCCTCTCTGCTTCATCATCACCAGATACAAACACACACAAAATTCAATTTTTTTCTCCCAAAAAATCATTTTCATCATCATTTTCAGACAGAACATAACGAGTTTACGGTTATCTAGGGTTTTAACATGGGATTGTCGATGAAAAGAGGCACCGGAGGCTTCCTCCTCTACCTTCTCGTGGGTTTCTCCGTCGCCATATTCTCTGTTTATTACGTCGCATACACAAACCCTAATCCTCATCTCTCCTCCTCTCCGCTCTCCGTCACCGAGAAAGTCTGGCCGGTAAACAAAGTCTCATCCTTCATCTGAATATTCGTTTGGATTATTTAATTAGAATGACGTCATGGAATCATAACAGCTAATCCATTTGAATAAACAGATACGTGTTTATTACAATAATGGAACGTGTTCTGTTTTATTACGTACGGTACACTCAAACAGCATGGAAGAATCTAAAAAGAGATTTGACTTTTTGACTTTTGTTTTTTATGTTTTGTGAAAATTTGTGTAAAAGTAGGATTTGAAGTTTAGCTGGAGGCTTGTGGTGGCTACACTTATAGGGTTTCTAGGATCTGCTTGTGGGACCGTTGGTGGTGTTGGAGGCGGTGGAATATTCGTTCCTATGCTCACTCTCATTCTAGGGTTCGACACAAAATCTGCAGCTGCAATCTCTAAATGTAAGAGAGCTTTTGTTAATGATATGTTTACATTGTTAATAGGCTTTAACGTTGATGTTTTTTGTGTGATAAGGTATGATAATGGGAGCATCAGCGTCATCAGTTTGGTACAATGTGAGAGTTCGTCATCCGACAAAGGAAGTACCGATCTTAGACTATGATCTTGCTCTCCTCTTTCAACCGATGCTTCTTTTGGGTATCACTGTTGGTGTATCTCTAAGTGTTGTCTTCCCTTACTGGCTCATCACTGTCTTGATCATCATTCTCTTCGTCGGTACTTCTTCAAGATCTTTTTTTAAAGGGATTGAGATGTGGAAGGAAGAGACTTTGTTGAAGGTTTGTTTCCTGCTAGTAATGTTGTTGTTTCTTATGTGGAAGATTACTGAATGTTTTTGATGTGCGTGTGTGTGTTTTGTAACAGAATGAAATAGCCAAACAGCATCAAGGCTCCACGGTTAATTCCAGGGGAGAACGTAAGTAAAGCCTGACACTCTGTGTGTGATTCATGTTTCTGATGAGTTGGTAACTTTATTGTTGATTTATGTGCAGTTTTAATAGACACAGAGTATGAGCCGCTTTATCCAAGAGAAGAGATGTCAGAACTGGTAAGTAAGCATGGAGATATTACCTGGTATAAAGATTCAAGAACTTACCTGGTTTCTTTGTTTGCTTTTACAGGAAATAATAAGGTCTAACCTCAA